TTGTTGCTGCCTAGGCCAGCATCCTTTGTTCCTGTGAGGCTGGGCTGAGTTTGTCCCATACCTGCCCTGATGAGGGGTTCTTGGAGAGTTTTTGTCTGGGCTTGCTTTAAGCCATGAGGATACATTTTCAGCCTCAACTATATATACATGAAATTATAACCTATAACATTACTAGAACATCGCTATAACAACCATGCTCAGTGCATCATGAGCCTTCTGAAGACACCCGACATGACAAACTTTGCACTGGATACCACACAATCATTTTATAAAGATGAACATGGGATTGTAGGGTGTCCCCCTGAGGTACAGAACATCACAACTTGTGACTAGCAACACCACAATATTTCCTCTGAATTGAAGTGTGTTCCATGCTTCTCTAGCATTCTGAAGAAGTGGTAATTGATTCAAGGCAACTGACAATGCATGCTCAGAATATTAAGCATAAATATGAGACCTCTGGTCTAAAAAGGATAAACTTGTATCCCTTGCCTGTTGTGACATCACCGTTGTTGAATAATGGAAAAACGGGATTGACCAAGTGGGCCAGGGCTCAAACCAACATCCCAGGCTCACCCGTCTGCTTGGAAATGTGTCTGCAATGTGGAAGAGTTTGTGGCTCTAGAATAGGCCTCCTCAGCCATCAGTGGACTTTCAGATAACTTGAAATTGTCTTTCATGGATTGTCTATCATCCTCCACTTCGAGGGATCGCCAGCGATTGTTGAATACACTTATTTGACTTTTGGGTAGCAATCCAGCTTTTAAACTTTGTACATGTGCATTTAAGTTCTGTATGCAGAGAGTAGGCCAGGTATTTATGTTTGTGGTTGGAGATCTAAAAGGTCATATTTGCACAAATGCCTGCCTCTCGTACGCACAGATCTGCTGTGTGTACGAGAATCTTGGACACGCCTGTAATCATCAATTCTGCATGATGAACTTCAAATATATGATTTTTAACGAGCTCCAATTTCTAATGCTTATTGGATTCAGTTTTATTTAGGAATCTTAGTCTGTATAATGGCGTATGATGGTAGGTTTTTAGCACTAGCAATCAGTGTGGCTGAAAATTTTTACTGTGACAGATTGCTGAGACATGTGACTATTTGATACTTGCTGGAACAGTGATAGTTATGTACTATTGTGTTACGGCAGATGTCTCTGGAAAGCTTAGAATTTGGGATACCACACAGAAGGAACACCTACTGAAGTATGAGTATCAGCCATTTGCAGGAAAAATAAAGGATATTGCCTGGACTGAAGACAGCAAGAGGCTTGCCGCTGTGGGGGAAGGCAGGGAGAAGTGAGTAATTCTCAATCTACTGTAAACTGTTGTGTCCTAACAAAACAAAATCAGTGATGCAGAAAACTCTAAGCTCCTCTAAGAGAAATGTGTCGCACTCCTTGTTTTAGACTTCTAGAGTCACTGTTTTAGTAGCAAAATTCTTTACATAGCATTTGACAGCTGCAGAACTGTGAGTAGCTTATTCACTGGGGAAGCACAATACCATTAAAATAGACCTTTTTAGAGCAGTACTTTGTTTTTTCTTTCCCTCTTAAATGACATGAATTCAAGATTAGGGAGATAAGGTAGGTGAGATGGTCAATAAAAGATACTGTCTCACCCACCTTGTCTCTCTAATTCTGGGACCGACATGGCTACGACACTGCATACGATCAATTCAAGATTGCCTGTTTTGTTCACAGGGTGTGGTGGGTTGTGTGGTGGTGGTGGTGGTGGTGGTTGTTGTTGGTTGTTGTTTGTTTGGGGGGGGTGTCTTTGTGTAGCAGGGAGAACTGCAGAGATCTTAAAACATTTTAATGTTCTACAAAATGTGGTGTTGGAGAGAGAATCACACTTATATTTGCATCTTCCACATGAGCACAACTACATTTGGGGGTTTAATTGCAATAAGAACACAATTGACCACCAATTGCAATCTTGTTTATCAGGCTAGACGTGCCCATTGTATAGCTTCAATTAGGTACATGTGTACATTTGCCGGTACAAAAGATTAGCAGACCTGTGAAGATGGGGACCAATCCAGCAAGAGTGGCCTCCAGGCAAAGGCCACATACTGCATCTTAAGACTAATTATTGTTCTGTACAAGTGGCTGGTACAGTAGCACCTCCATTATGGACACCTTGGGAATGGAGGTTGTTTGTAACCCTGAAATGTTCCATAACTCTGAACAAGACATTACAGACTTCAGCCATCGGGGGTGGGGGGTGGTTGCAACTGCAGGGTAGGGAGTTCAGGGTTCCAGGCATGGGGTTGGAGAGGTCAGGGCTTCTACCCCATGGGAGCACCAGAGCTCAGGGCATTAGACCCAGAGGGAGCACTGGGGCTCAGGGCTTCAGCCCGGCAGCTCCATTCCCACCTCTGTCCTGCAGGGGGTGCTGTGGCTCAGGGTTTTCCCATGGCTCCACTCCCAGTTTCAGTGGGGAGCACGTCAGGGGTTTAGCTATGGGGGGAGCACTGGGGCTGAAGCCCTAGTACTACCTCCCCACATCTAAAGCCCTAAGCCCCAAACTTCTTTCCTCCTCTCTTGACCCTCCCCCCCGCGGCTACAGCTCCAACTCCCTGTGGCTGATGCCCAGGGCTAAAGCCCCAAGGCATTTTTGTCTCTGCTGCTGCTTAATTGGTGTCCAGTTGACTGGTAAGTCCGTAACTCAGGTGCTCATATCTTTTGAGATTATACTGTAGATTGACTCCTAACTTAATTCTTTGGGGAGACACCTCCTGCATTAGTTTATTTGCTAATGTCTCCAGGGTTGGTACTGAAGAAATGTGTATGGTATCTTAGGTACGTTGATATGTATCTTTTTGTTTCTTTCAAAATGTCCAGAAGTAAAAAAACTTAAAAAATAATAGAGCAAGGTTATTAAGGTTTCCTAATGAATCGTATTGCATTTCCAGCAAATCTAGCTTCATTTTAGAAACTTGCTGAAATGATTGTCTAGAGCTTGTTTAACTAAATTATTGACAGTATTTTTTTACTGTTTTAAAAACACAAGGCTGACAGGATTTTTCATGTGTGCTAATAAAACTTGTTTTATTAATGCGTTGTGGTTACTAACTAACTCTTTGCGGCTTTTTGTGTTTGGTTTTTTTTGTTTGTTTGTTTGTTTTTTTTTTAAATGCTCCTGAAATAGTAACTGCCAACACTTTTGGTATGCTAAGATTTGTATTCTAGTCACTCAGTAATTCTTGTCCCTCACTGAACTGTGTCTCTATAAGACAAGGTGTTGTTCAGCATAGGTGAACTACTAATTACTTCACTAACATCTTGCAGTTGGAATACATGTGTATACCTAGAGGACTTTAAAGCAATAATCAACTGTTTTGGTCTAAATCACATAAATTCACCATGAAAAATGCATCACGGACCGTGAAATCTGATCTTTTGTGTGCTTTTTACCCTCTACTATACAGATTTCACGGGGGAGACCAGCATTTCTCAAACTGAGACCCTGACCCACAAGGGAGTTGTAGGGGGGTCGCAAGGTTATTTTAGGGGGGCTGCCCTTCTGCACTGCCTTCAGAGCTGGGCAGCCAGAGAGCAGTGGCTGGGCGCCCAGCTCTGAAGGCAGCACCCCGCTAGCAGCAGCATCAAAGTAAGGGTGGCAATACAATACTCTTCCACTCCTACTTCTGTGCTGCTGCCTTCAGAGCTGGGTGGCTGGAGTGTCAAGGCTGCTGACTGAGGGCCCAGCTCTGCAGGCAGCAGCAAAGAAGTGAGGGTGGCAATATTGTACCATGTCATCCTTTCTTCTGTGCTGCTGCTGGCGGTAGTGTTGCCTTCAATGCTGGGCAGCTGGAGAGCAGCTGCTGCTGGCAGGGAGCCCAGCACCACCGCAGCAGCAGTGCAGAAGTAAGGGTAGCAGTACTGCAAACACCTCTACAATAACCTAGTGTGCAACACTTCTCCTCCCCCCCCCCCACCAAACACTCTCTTCCCCCCCCTCCCCCTTTTTTTGGTCAATTACAACATTATGAAATTTCAGATTTAAATAGCTAAAATCTTGACATTTACAATTTTTAAAATGGTATGACTGAAATTGACCAAAATGGACCATGAATTTGGTAGGGCCCTATATATGATGGACTTGATGCTGTTTTATATTCCAGCCTTCCATACTATCCATTATCTGTTTGTAGCAACTATCCACCTGGGACAACAACTTGCTCCTCTCAGTATGCTTTAAGTAGTTGATCCCTTAAAATGAGATCCAAGGGATATTTTTAATTTAAAAAGGTTTGTATATTTGCTTCTCTGCTTGGTACATGTGGCAGCTGTCATCCTCTTCTGAGTTTTTGGACTCTGTCTCCTAGACAAAGGACTTGAATATCCTTTAGGGAACAGTGCTGCACTTGCATGAGATTAACTAGATGACCTAATTTCTATTGTCTGTGTGCACTCAGTATGCCGATTACTGATGCTCAAGGAGTTAGCCTTCATGTAATTTTTATTTTATGGACTATGTGTATTGTCATCTTTAAATAGATTTGGAGCAGTGTTCCTATGGGATACTGGTTCTTCAGTCGGAGAGATCTCTGGGCACAACAAGGTGATCAACAGCGTGGATATAAAACAAACAAGGCCCTATCGTATAGTAACTGGCAGTGATGACAATTGTGGTGCTTTCTTTGAGGGACCGCCATTCAAATTCAAGTTTACAATAAGTGTGAGTCTAACATACTTTTCTCCTTCTGCACATAAGTTCTGTTATGTCTCTGTTAAGTCGTATGGAGGTATACTAAAAAGTCTTCACAGTTCTTACTATTTTGTGATACAGCTCATTGCCATAACAAAATCTTGGTTTCCAGTTTAAAATCTACTTGGCATTGAGTAGCCATGGTTGAAGATAATTAAAGGTCTAGCTCAAGCTCAGAAAAACAAAATAAAGGGTTAGAAAGGAAACTCTAGACTAGTTCTTCAAAACAGTATAATTTTAAGTTTAGTGTCATCAGATCTTGTGTACTGGCTTTCATTACTCTTTTGTGGGTTTGTAGAAAATGTAACACTTTTCAGTATCCCTTCTTGAGGAGCAGTTTTTTCCTTCATTTAGTGCAATCTCAAAATATTCTACCATGTTTCTTAACAATACTTTCAGCAGTGCCCAGTTTGGTGGGTGGGGTGGTGGTGGAAAGCTGTGGTGCAGGAGGGGTTTGGAATCTTCAAATCTCTTTAAGGGATTTGGATTCTCAATTCTAAACAGGAATTAGGCATCCAAATCCCTTGAGGCAGCTTTGAAAATGTCAGCCTAGATCTTGAAAAATCACTACTGGTTATTTAAACTTGAAATTATAAATCTAACTTTCATCCTTTGTTCCTTTCTGTCTGGACTATAAAAATAACAAGTCAGCTTTAATTTCTGGTTTGTGTTGCACTTGTGCAATGTGAGAACTTCCAAAAAACAAACCGAACACTGGAATGACTATATCCAAACCATTCACATTTCTTATGTCATCCCTTAGGGAGTCTCCTGGCCTTATTATTTGGGGCCTGTCTTCTTCTGGGTAGGCCTTGCTACTTGGCACTGTTGCAGATGAAGTCCCAACCATACTAGTAGGGCTTCTTGAAAAGTTAAACTTGGCAATTAATTTTAAGGCAATTGGAAGTCTATTGTTTGCATGTGCCTTAAGGTGACTTTAAACCCTTAGTTAAGTGCTTTTTAGTCCCTTTTTCCATTCCAGACTTAGCAAAAGAACAGTTTTGAGTGCCACAGTCAGTAAAGTGGTATCACTACTGAATATACATTTGAACGTCAGAAGCTACTTTTTATTTTTTGGCTCTCTTACAGTATGTCTACACTGCGTGGGGGGAGGAAAATCTATCAGAGTCTGGGAACCCAGGTCGGCTAACCCTGGCTTGTGCTACAGAGCTGAAAACAGCAGTGTAGATATTCCCACTCTGGCTGGAGCCTGGACTCAGCCTGGCAAGCTGGGGGAGAGTCTCAGAGCCTGAGTGGAAACATTTACCCTGCTGACCCAGACTCTGAGACTCTCTGCCAGGGTTGTTGGGTTTTCTTTTTGTAGTGTAGACAGTCCTCTTGGAGAACAAACTCCTGAAGGTTTAAATAATTACTAATAGTGGCTAGACTGGTGTATGGGCAACTCAGCCCTCAGACCGTTCAGCTTTCAGTAACCGCTTCTTTAGCAAAATCCAAATCCAGGAGTAAAGTTGTTATAAGCATTGGGCATGAAATGGATGCGTTTTCTGATTATTATGGTTGGAATTCAACCCGCCTGCATAAGCCTGATTCCTAAGGCTTTAGGTGTATGAAGTGACCAGATGGGGGGGTGGGTGGAGACAAAATTGCAATCTGAATGGGATGGGGCTGTAGTTCAGCCCTCTTCCCTCCTAACCAAAGCCATGGTGATTACTCCTAATCTGATTTGTATCCTGCATTAAAGCTATTTGAACTGCAGAACCATGGATCCTGTGGCTGCTCTTGACCCACCTCTGTCACCCTCCATTCTTACCTATGCTGGACAGTGCAGACGTTTCCTCTGTAGGCCTCCCTCACAGCCAGTCTGGGGCTTGAGTAGGGCGGAGAGTCTCTTGCTTGAGAATTTCACTGTAAATGAATGGGTCTCATGGGGATCAAGTAACTTATCTAAGATGTCTAAAGCTTTTCTGTTTTTGGCTGGGTGTTAATTGTTGTCTCCTGCAGGACCACAGCCGTTTTGTTAACTGTGTGAGGTTCTCTCCTGATGGGAACAGATTCGCTACATCTAGTGCAGATGGCCAGGTAAAAATGAGCTGCCACCTCGATATCCACTTGTGGGGGAGGGGAATAATTGTGAGTTACACACTCTCTTTGAGGGGGATGGGGTTTTGGGGAGCAGTTCCACAGCCTACACACTGATTCTCTTTACTGTGAGAAAACAGACTTAAGAACTGTCATCCTCCTCCCATGATACGGCTGCAACAGCAGCTGTTTTACAAAAACCTGGTGCTGCACCTGTTTATCTCTCTTCCTGATGTGCCTCCCCAACGCAGGCTACTTATTTGCTGGGGGGGATGATACCCCTGCCTACAGCTTTTTGCAGCAAGGCTTTCCTCAGACTCAAAGGAAAATATCCAAGAATTCTCAAATTCCCTATGAAAGGGCTTGATCCTGTACCACCACGTAGCTGTGCTGGTGCTTCCACTGCTAGACTCCTTGCACTGGCTGAGAAGGTGGGTGCAGTATAAATGGCTACATAAAAATGTATAGAGATAGGCTCTTATCAGCTACGAAGGTCAAGAATGACAACAGCACTGTTGCCATGGCTAGCTCCCTGCATACAGGCAGATTCCAATGACTAGGTGGGAGCGGCGGCTATCACAGTAGGAGCCATAAGCATAATCCTTTCCAGTATTTCAGATGTCAGAATTCCTGCATGGAACAGCTTGCTGCTTTTATTTAGAATGCCTTAATATCCTCTGGTACCTTAAATATTTAATATACAAGTATGCATTTGTCTTGAAGCCTTAACTTGACCTTTACAAAGTTACTTTTATGCCTGCAGCAAAGAGTTAGCTGTATAATACATTTTGGAGATTGTAAATGTGCAAGCCTTCCTCTAATTGTCTGTCACTTTGTATAATATGCTTATGTGATTGGTTTTTTAAAGATTTTTGTCTATGATGGGAAGACTGGAGAGAGAGTTTGTGCTCTGGGTGGAAATAAGGCTCATGATGGAGGCATTTATGCTGTAAGTATTTTTGTGTGTTTCATAACTGCAGCACAATAAATATCTAACTTACTATTGCAAGTTCTTATACTGTTGTCAATGGAAAGTGCTGTCCATATACTAAGGCAGGTACTTGTTTTTACAGATTAGCTGGAGCCCTGATAGCGCTCACTTGCTTTCTGCTTCTGGAGACAAAACTGCTAAAATCTGGGATGTTGGCGCTAACTCTGTTGTCAGTACGTTTAACATGGGATCAAATGTTCTGGATCAGCAGTTGGGTTGCTTGTGGCAGAAGGACCATTTACTGAGCCTCTCCCTCTCTGGTTACATTAACTATTTGGATAAGAATAACCCAAATAAGCCTCTACGTGTCATAAAGGTATGTTGACCTTGATCACGCTGCAGCAGACCTTCTACTACACATAGTTTGGTTTTAGCAATAATCTGTTTGGGAATAGTAACTGTTCCATTAAAATGTGGCTGTAAAGAATCTCTTTGAACCATCAAGCCTGGATATTGCTGAGCATATCCCTGACTAACACCTGAGTCATAGCAGTCAAATATAGTAGTTATACTTTGTGCAAATGTGTAGATGAGTAACAATCTTAATTATGCTAATAAAATAGCTTACTTCCACACTAGTTTTTAAACATGCTTAAGATTACACTAAAATAATCTGAGTTAGAATACCACCCATGGGCATCTTATTGTAAACATAGAGATATGGTTCACTATGCAGTCAAGCTCTAATAGGAATTATGTGGCGGGGTGACAAAGCAATCCCGTAGGAGCTTACATTTTTACATGAACTAGAAACCTGTGTCCTAGATTTTTATTTTTTTTTTAATTTTTATTATTACTGTAATTCTGGCAACCAATACATGTAGGTGACCATATTTAACCATCTTGTAAACACTGAACTTGTTTGGAACATAACACTTACTTACGCATGGAAAGGGTCCTAAAGTGATCTCCATCCGGAAAAAAGTGTGTGACTATTCATATTGCAGAACATTTAATTCTTTAGAATTTGTATGGAAATATCAGTGCTGTAATACTTTTTTTTTTTATGTATTGATTCCTTGAAACAGACCTAGACAACTAGTCATTTGAATTTTGGGATTGAACAAAGACCAAAACCAAAATGTGATGTTACTTTCTAAATCTTACCAGTAGCACTTTGTGAACAGATTGCTTTTGTTTTAGTTTGAATAACTGAGAAATGAATTGCCCATTAATTATATTCTTTCACAGGGTCATAGTAAATCAATTCAGTGTCTGACAGTGCATAAAAATGGTGGAAAATCCTATATTTACTCCGGAAGTCATGATGGACACATTAATATCCTTTCTGGTGATCAAATGGCATTATTCTAGTACCACTTCTCCTCCTTAAGATGGATATTCTACTTTCTAGGAACTTTTAAAATCACTTTACTGAAGACAAGATAACTTCCTCTGACATTCCTGAATAAAATTGTATTGCTGAACCAAATTCCTGCTAACTTGTAACTAACATGGCACTTATCTGTAATCTTTACCATTCTCTGTAATGACTTGCTTTCCTGATACCACAATAATCTTACCGGAATCCCTATTAACATTCATAAGAACAGCCATACTGAGTCAGCCCAAAGGTCCATCCAGCTCAGTATCTGGTCTTCAATAATGGCCAATGCCAGGTGCTTCAGAGGGAATGAACAGAACAGGTAATCAAGTCATTCCTAAACTGAAAGGATTATGAACTCCTTGTTGCTCTGCCTCTGGGTTTATATACTAATAAGCATAGCTTTCCGCATTGCTCTTAGAGCTGCAAGTTTCTCACCACCTTATCGTTGCCTTAATTTCATTGCTATCCTCATGGTAAAACTGTCACCCACTCATTACTGTTCCTTGTCTAGCCAGTGTCTCAAGCATAATCAGGCCCCCAACTCCCAGAGAATTTGCACATCTATTAATTATATAATTAATTCCAGTTCCCACTGGCCTGTGGAGCAATAAACATGGAATGCAATCTAGATCTCCCCCCAGGGTGTTGTCAGAGGGCCAGCCTGTGAGGTGGGTTGGTTTGTTTGTGTTGAGTTTTGTTTTGTTTTGTTTTTTTAGCTGAACACTACTAGCTTTTTCTGTAACAGGCAAATGTGAGTTTATACAATTTCTTTATACATTACCTTAAACAAGATGTGATGTATAATACTTATGCTCATTGTGAACATAATGCACTCTTTAACTGCATTATCTTTTTGGCAAATATATGACACAAACTTGAAGGTTTGCTGAGGAAGAAGCTCTCATGATAACATGTCAGATTGACTAGTCCCTTGTTAGGAAAAGTAAAGATACAGTGTTTATATCCATATCCCTCTTGGAAAGTGTTCCTTAGGCATTGAGACCTAACACTAAATGATTTGTTGTTTGCCAATACTTTTTTACTGTTCTAAACTGGTTATTCAAATATTTTATTTAGTTCCTTTATGGAATACTTGAGTCAGTGTTTGTTTTCATTATCTGGAATTGGGAGTCGGAAGTCCTAGTTTTTTCTGCAACCCCACCACACACAAACTCCTAAGAAAAATTTCCTTAATTCTACTTCTCACATTATTGGGATTCCGAAACTGGGGAGAATGATGACTTTTCTGGAAAAGGGCATACAAACCAGGTTTCTAGAATGGCCGTGGATGAATTGGATCAGCTGGTCAGTTGCAGTATGGATGACACTGTGCGTTATACTAGCCTAACCAAGAGAGACTACAGGTTAGTGAAGCAATCATATTTGATTGTGTTATGTATGTATGGGGTGGATGGTTTGGTGTGTTTCTCTTTTTTGTTTTGGTTTTTATATCAAGAGAATTTCACTGGAATAGTGTGGGATGCTGAATAGCTTCATCATACAACTTGTGCAAATTTTTCAAGTTACCATGAAAATCCTAGAAATGCTTGCAATACCCAACTTGCTTTATCTATGAAACAATAGAAAAGTGGTTAATTTTTTTTTCTTCCACATACATGAGATTAATTTCTTAGACAGTATTTTCTAATTTTATTTCTTAGGCAGCCAGATGTATCTGTGTCTTGTATTGCATGACTTGTGTATGGTTTTGTCTTCACTATATAGATATATCTGAGAGAGAGCATGCTTCAGTTCTTATGTGGCTTTATATAATATACTGTATAAGAAGAAAACAAGATCTAAGATTCTTTTTAGAAAACATTTTTTTTTCCCCTGTGGTTATGCCAATCCTGCCGCCTCAGGAGAGGAGTCCTTTTAGGATTACCCAGTCTGTTTCTCTGAAGAGTAATTAAGGTCACTTTAATCCTAAATCAGAGTATCCACATGAGAATTTAATGTGGGTAAAGTAATCCACTTTAAAATTTTAAATCAGGTTAATTTTCCCAGGTGTCCCCATGTAGAGAAGCCCTAACTTCTAAGACTGGAATCCAGCTGTACATCGTGATTGTGAATTTAGATACCTTGAAGTGATAGTTCGCTTAGCTAGCTGTTGAATATCTACATATTGCAGACCTGAAGACTTATTTCATGATTACTTTTCAAGGATCTCTCAATGGCTGACTATTGAATTGAGACTTGTACGTGAATAAAATAAAGACACGGAAAAGCAATTTGTATTTTTCTTTTCAGTGGCCAGGATGTTGTAAAACTGGATGTTCAACCAAAATGTTTAGCTGTTGGTCCTGGTGGATATACGGTAGTTATATGCATTGGACAAGTAAGTATCAGGATAATATCTGGATATGTCTATACAGCAACTAGACACCCACAGCTGGCCTGGGCCAGCCAACTTGGGCTTGTGGGGCTCGGGCTGCAGAGCTGTTTCACTGCTGTGTGGACTTCCGAGCCCTGTGAGCCCAAGTCAGCTGGTATGGGCCAGCTGCGGGTGTCTGGTTGCCGTGTAGACATGCCCCGTGTAACCTATACAGTATTTAATGCTCTGAGTGTGTCATTGATACACTAACAAATTTCTAAAACTTATTTCAGTGGAGGAGTCTATGTTGGTAGAGGCAGCTGTCAATGTGGATCAGCTGTTAATGTTAGCCCATGGTAACTGCACTTATATAGCACCTTACTATTTTTAAATTCTGTACAAACATAACTAAATCAAAGAATCTGCTGGTGTAAGACTTGTCTAAATAGTGTTGGCATTTTTTAAATTAAATCAGCTTGTTGTCTATTTTAAATTGGTGCAGACCTCTATAGTGGATGCATTACACCAGTATCAGGGTATACCTGCATCCATGCTACGGGGTTGCACCAAACTTTAAAATTGGTAGAAAAACTAATGTTGTTAAATCAGTGCCTGAATGGTATGTAGCCATACTCCTCTAATGATGCCAAAAGAGGCTGAGTCAACATGAAAATCTACCTGAAATTTGAATCCAGTGCTGATTACAGCAGTGTTGGTTTCTTTAATTTGTTTTCCTCCTTTTGGTGGGTGGGTGTGAACACTTTAAATATGGAAGGTAGCTTTTTCTGTTAATGAGCAGGAGCAAATACATATCTAACCTTCTAGCTCATACAGTGACTGTACAGATGTCCTTTACATAAGGACATCTCTTTAAAACCAAAATCCCAATAGATAGATATTTAACATCTTTTTTAAAAAATGGAAGGAAGATTATAGCTAATATAAGAAACACAAAATCATTAGTCGCTGATAACTATATTGGATATGGTCAGGATAACAGTCTTAGGACCTTGGTCAGTAGTAAAAATATAGAAACAGGGACCAGTTCTCCTTGTTCTCTTGCTTGAACATTCATTACTTTGGCAGGCTAGTCCACTTACGCTGTTATATCCATCTTTGGTGTACAGCTTGCTTATCACCTCCTGGCACCATAGATATGGATCTTTTGGCTATTGTTGGAGCACACTCTACGATAACTTGAGGATTACTCAAGCTCTCAGCATGATTCAAATGAAGCAGAACCAAAGATCCTTGTTTCTTAGGAGATGTCTCTGTTTAAAACCACACTTACGTTTATGGATGATGGGTATCGAAGGCCGGGGAAGACTGAGCCTCTCCAAACAGCCTTGTGTGGCCCCACCCACGTTCAGCCCCCAGATCCCTTCCTGCTTCCCGGTGCTGCGGGGGGCTCTTCCCCTGCGGCTGGAACTAATGGGGGGGGGGCAGCCTCCGCTCCGGGGGGCCCAGCACTTTGGGGGAAGGGAATCCTCTGGGCTCTAGCAGTCAGGGTAGGGCCTCAGGCAGAAAGGGTGAGCCAGCTGCTAGCTTCCCCGAGCCCAGGGTTCACCTGCCACCCATACTTGCATTCCTTTGTAATGCTTTTGACTAAAAAGGATGTGGGTTGAACTTTCATAATCTCATGTGCAAAGGGTCATTTTCCTATCCAGCTACAGTTTCCCATTAGAGGCAGTCATAACTAAAAACAAATAGTTTGGATGATGCAGTTGAGATCAACAGCATGTGTACTTCGTAACTCAATCCTCCCAACAGAAGACGGTACTGTGAAAGATAGTAGACGTTGCTTGAAATGCTAGATTCCTTCATGCACCTCTTTTATTCTGACTCTGGGCTGGTCTACACTGTGGGGGTGGGATCGATCTAAGATACTTCGACTTCAGCTACGCTATTCACGTAGCTGAAGTTGCGTATCTTAGATCGATTTACCTCGGGTCCTCACGGCGCGGGATCGACGGCCACGGCTCCCCTGTTGACTCCGCTACCGCCACTCGCTCCGGTGGAGTTCCGGAGTCGACAGGGAGTGCGTTCAGGGATCGATATATCACGTCTCGTTAAGACGCAATATATCAATCCCCGATAAATCGATCGCTACCCGCCGATATGGCAGGTAGTCTGGATGTACCCTAAATGAACTTCAGCTAACAGTATGCAAGAGCGTGTCCTGACTGCTTGCAGTTTGTAGATTCAAGGCGGTCTGCACCTGCATCACTTTCAAATGCTCATAGGAGAAAAAGCTTAGTCGCCAGGCATAGGTGTCTCATACTTCTAATCTATATAGATTAGAACGAATCTCAATACTCCCTTTGAACCAATGAAGTAGTAGCTACTGTTGTGGCTGACAAGCATAGTGTGTGTATGGCGAGACACTATAGCCTGTCAAGCATTTTGAACCAATGGTCTCTATGGTACATTGCTCTGCATTTATAGATCATCTTGATGAAGAATAAGAAGAAGTGTTTTGCAATTGATGACCCTGGCTATGAACCAGAAGTGGTGGCCATTCACCCAGGAGGTGCTACCGCTGCAGTGGGAGGACAGGTAATGATACACTCTAGTGAGCACTGGAACAGTATTCCATGGTTGCGAGCTTTTTGGTTTTGCTTGTTCATTAAACATCACTCAGCTGTTGCTGCACCAAGATATCAAAGTTGGCAGTGTACTAATGGTTTTGCTTTTAATTTAAAGTTGTGCTGTTGGGTTTTTTTGTTAAGCTGCTATCTTCTGGCCTCTTTCCATTAGATTCTCCCACTTTTGTGGTTAGTATACATTCCTCAACATCTTCTCCCTAGATAGTTAAGCTTTTAAGTAAGCTTTTATCAAAACTCTCCCCACATCTTAAAGCAGTAGCATGTTTTTAATTTGACATATGGCCAATATACCCTAAAAATACTGATTATGTATTTTTTCAAAGGGAGAAATATCTATAATTGCATATGATCCTTTAACTTAATAGCCTTCCTGATTTGTTGTAAAGCTTTGACTTTCATTGTTAACTTGCAGGATGGGAATGTCCATCTATATTCAATCCAAGGAACCTCTCTGAAAATCGATGAGAAGACCTTGCAAGCTAAAGGTCCTGTGACTGACCTAGCATATTCTCATGATGGTGCCTTTCTTGCAGTTTGTGATGCAAACAAAGTTGTCACTGTCTTTAGTGTTGCTGATGGCTATGCGGTAAGAATTGCTGTATCTGACCTGTGATTTCCAACAAAAGTATTTACTAGTCCTAAAACTGCATGTGTATTTAACCCACATTCAAGAGACCGCTTAAGTTGACCATGGGTAATTAACACCTCTATAGTTGCAGGACAAAGGCGGGTTAGTGGCTTACAGATAACTGTAATGAGCCATAGATCCACTGTCTGTATTAAACTCTACTGGACACCAAGGGTCAGTCTTAAGTTCCCAGGCTCACTTTTTTGCAGGTTCCCTTTGAAGACAAGGGCTATGAAGTCAGATATGGAGTGATCATTTTTGTGAGAAATGCTTGCCCGTGGTGTTATGTTTGCTTTTTTTATCATTTTTTCTGTCTGAGTACATTTGAGAGCGTAGCGTCTCTTTTCACCCACACAGTTGTTGTTTGGGCACTTAGTGTACTGGATGAGGCACACCGCATGTGGAGGACCTGTAGATCTAGAAAGTTGTAGAGGTTTTGCATCTGTTATGGCAGAGGCTGGTGCCACTTTGATTTGGGGTGCCCTGGTCTGTGGGGAACTTGGGAGGGGGTTTGAAGGACAGAAGAGGGATGTGGTCACCATCAAGTATGCGTTGTTGTTTCTCAAAACACATACTGTACAGCTACACCTCTACCTCGATATAACGCTGTCCTTGGGAGCCAAAAAATCTTACTGCGTTATAGGTGAAACCGCGTTATATCGAACTTGGTTTGATCCGCTGGAGTGTGTAGCCCCGCTCCCCTCCAGAGTGCTGCTTTACCGCATTATATCCAAATTCGTGTTATATCAGGTCGCGTTATATCAGGGTAGAGGTGTACTTTCAAAGGCTTCATATAACCCCTTCTGTGCTATAGCTGAGCAGGACATTTGAGTCCTAGGATCTCCAGTTGGTGTTTGCTTAAAACTTGAACATCCAGTCCGACCATTTTTGATCCATTTTGGTTTGAGTTCTGTTGGCTCCTTTCAGATGTTAATAGAAATAGCATAAAATGGACATTTTAAATGGCTCCCACGACCAACCTGTGCAATAACCATAATATTCCAATATAAAGGGCACTTAGCTTAGAATTTTACTGTGTACCTGGGGTATACAGATATATTTTAATTGTTCTAGCAACATGTTAAAATTTGTTGCCTGTTAATGAGGGACAATATCACAAGTAGCAGAACAGCTACTTGAAGTCTTTAAAATAACACCATTTTCCCAATAACTCCCAAATAGGAACATAACATCTTCTATGGACACCATGCAAAAATTGTTTGCCTTGCCTGGTCTCCAGACAATGAGCATTTTGCTTCTGGGGGCATGGACATGATGGTTTATGTTTGGACCTTAAGTGACCCGGAGACCAGAGTCAAGATACCAGGTATGTTGTGCACTTCTTTGATAGAAAGAGGTTTAGTTTTGAGAATTGCTAGTCTCTCTCAAAATATGGACAGTGCTTTCTCTGTCAGAACTACACTAGCAGTTATCTCTTCGTCTAGATATCTCTTCCTCTAGCCTACCTCCTGTAATGTAATTTTTAACCTTCTAACTGTTGTGGTTCAAGACTGCCATTCACTAAGTACACTTTGCAGGCAACTGCATTTTACAAGTACTTTGTGCACTACATTAAAAAACGAGCTAGATAAGTTCATGGAGGATAGGTCCATCAATTGCTATTAGTCAGGATGGACAGGGATGGTGTCCCTAGCCTCTGTTTGCCAGAAGCTGGGAATGGATGACAGGATAGATCATTTGATGATTACCTGTTCTGTTCATTCCCTCTGGGGCACCTGACATTGGCCACTGTCGGAAGACCGGATACTGGGTTAGATGGACCTCTGGTCTGACCTGGTATGGCCATTCTTATGATCTAATTGAAAAATTTTTCAAAATTAAAAATATTGTCCTAAGATGACTGTAATAACCTATCAATTCTTAAACTGAGTGTGGGGTGTTTGTGTGTGTATTTTTTTAATGCAATATTATCTCCTTCCATCTGCACAGATGCTCATAGACTACATCATGTAAGCAGCTTGGTATGGCTGGATGAACATACCCTGGTAACAACATCCCATGATGCTTCTGTCAAAGAATGGTCTATCTCCTACAAGTGAACAGTCCTACTTGGAAGGACCTCATCAGGGACTAGAACTACTGCAGTGGAACATAGCATTTCTCTTTAAAAGAAAAAAAAAAATTCTAATGGCCTCTGGGTCTTCTATCATATCCTCATATCTTTACAGGGTGTTCATATCTGTAATTAAATGTACTTTGAAAGCTTTAGCCAGTAACAGTTTGCACATGAAAAGCACTTAAATTATGTCTGGAACTTAACCTTTGTGCTGAACATTCCAGAGGCAACAGCCGAACAAGTTGGCATGAAAAATTCAAACATGATCAGTTATTTTCTAACAGAGTCCGTGTGAGATTGTACAGCATGAGAGAAATACTTCTCATTTTTTCTAATTGCAGAACATTTCTGTACTAATGGTCATAGTAAGAATATTTAGTTGTGATTCAAAACAAATCAAGCTGTGTGCAGCTACTGTATATTACGTTGCTTGTCTGTACTGCACCAAACTGTTGCCTCAGATTTCCTCCTCCACATAATGAAATGGGGTACACACATAATAAACTCTTTATGTATTTCATGTCAAAGTTTTGTGGTTATTTTAGGATGGAAATGTGGGTTTTTAATGTACTTACTGTTGTCGGTTTAATGTTTACAAATAACTATCATGGCATTTTCTCACTCCAGAAACATCATTGTTACCTTATGAACAACTGAGAATGTCTGTCTGGTCATTTCAATATCGGGGAGAACCTCGGCTTCTGTTTAAAGATAAATTTGTTTCCTAAAGAGAAGAATTAAGTTGATGTAAACAAATTTGCAGTAATTATAACACCTGTGTCAGTACAGGAATTAAACTAAGTGAATCATTGTTATGACTTGAGGTGATTTTTGCAAACCCGTTTACATGTTTGCCACTTCTGCGCTTTCCAGAAACACAACCTGTTACAGCGGAGCTATTAACAAACTGTTCAGATTAGATATCACAGTTAACTGTCAAGTTTGCCTTAAGATGCAACTTGAAGTTCTGGAGTGTTCTGAGGGTTGGCAGAGCAGAGGAAGACTTGGTTATCTGTGGAGTGTTGGTGTGAAGTGGTAGATACATGACCAGTCCTAATGGCCAAAAAGGAAACTGCCACTACCCACAGCTTTGAACTGTTTAAATAGCTGGATTTCCTCCCCCCCCCCCCCTCTTGTTCACATGTTAATTTAAAAACCCCTCCCCCCCCCCCCCCCCCCCCCCCCCAAAAAAAAAGTTGATGCTCCCTTGCTTGTGGAAATCTTCCAGCTTACCTGGTTTTCACACTGTTACTAATGGCTCTTGCTAGGCAGCACAGAAAGCCTTTCTGCTCCTGAAACCCACTCTCTTGCCTCTGCTCACCTTCATGGAAACTTTTCACTGTCAAATTGGTTTTTAGTGTGGTGCTTTCTAACAGAAAGCTGTTGAGTGTCTGGAAGTTACAATTAAAAAAACAACCTTTTGTCTTCTGATATAAAGCCAACTTGTAGAGTTCAACTGACGTAGCTTTCCCTGGAATATTTATTTTGTATCCGCTATTCTTTACTGGGCCTTTTGCACCTTTCCCCATCTTTCAGTATTTTTGTACACTGAACTTTTAAGACAGGAAATTGCAGGTAGGGGTGGTTGGGTGTGTGTGTGTGTGTTCACCTAATTGAAGTGAAGAGTGATGAGCAAGTGCCAAGCTAACAATCTTGACTATATACTGTAGTTGTCTAGCTACACTTATAGTGCAGTGACCACTGTTCTTCAAACATGACCTGGAGGGATTGCTATAGCATTGAATCTGCCCTATGTTTTCTGTGGTAGTCAAGTCTGCCTTCTCTGAACAAGCAAATGTGATATTAATGAAATGTTGTTTTCAGTGTAATGACTGATCAACTTGAGTTATTC